CATGTCGTTGGCAGTGCCGGTGTGTGAGACACTTTCCATACATGTCGTTGGCAGTGCCAGCGTATGGGAAGAGTATGTGTATTGCTTGAGTATCATCACACACGTCGTTGGCAGTGCCGGTGGGGTGATGATACTGTCTGCGCGCGTAGGACTTGTTATGAGATTTGTGAGCTACACGTGTCGTTGGCAGTGCCGGCGTGTGAGCTATGGAGTTCCGTCCCCCGGTTGGACTACTCATCCCTGGACGCGGGTTAGTGTTCGGAAATCCTGCGTACCAGCTAACAATCCCCCAGTTGGATTGTCTCCCCGGTACATTAGTTTGGAGAGAAGTATATATTATACTAAAGTCCTAACTATGTATATATATATATTTATATATGGGTATTTACGGGTTGATGAGAGCTATATATATCATTGGGAAATGAGTGGTGGATTTGAGTTGTGGAGTTGTTTTGGACTTTGGGATTTTGTGTTTGAGTTTTGGTTTCTGAATTGTGAAATTGCATGCTAGAGCATTATTTTTACATGGTGTTATGTTGATTTAAAGTGCAAACTTTATTTTTGTCCACTCACATCTTTCTGTTTTGCGCCCCCCCCCCAGACAGTAGTTGCTTTCGAAGGCGTTCGAGCAAGTCACGAGCTCCAAGCTTGTCGTCAGTTGTTAGGGTCTGTATAAACTCTTTCTACTCCCCTGTTTGTTGTAAACAAATTCTGTAGACGCTCTGTTATAGCCCATGTTAGGCTGCTACTTGAGGCCGGAGGCCATTTTATGTTGGATTGTTGTATGTTAAAATCATGCTGGCAGTTGGATTATATTATGATGTAAATTATGCAGGTTGAATATTGTTGGGTTTGAGCACTTTACAGGGGAGACTCTGCCAAAATTTTGGTAGGATGTCTTGGATTTTTAGTAAGTGGGCCCGGCATCAGTGTGATGTCGGCACCAAGACGGGGTCCGCCTCGGGTTCAGGTGAAATTCTGGGGCGGGTCCTGTCAAAAAATCTACAATACAACAATGCAATATGACTAAAACTTTATTTAAATAAAAAAATAAACAGATTCAAAATTAAGAGAGACAAGTAAACCCTATTTTTTTTTTAATAAAAAAGGAGAATTTCATTCAACTAGGAAAACGTATAGGAGGGCAAAAACAATGGCCTCGTTAAAACCTTTACCATAAAAAATTCCCATAAAGAGGAAAATCTGGACAAGGAAAAAGAGTACCACAACACCTCCACAAAAAATACAGAAAAAACACCCTACCCCC